AAAATTCATTGTTTACGATAATTTTGTCATTGCTGTGTAATATTAAAAAAAGTTTTTCTTAAATTTAACAAAAAATGGTTTCCAATGGTGAGTCGTCTCTAGGTTGCCATTATCTCGGTTTAGAACTTTATTTTTTAGATAGCCACATTGCAATCTGTCTATTTCAATTGCCTCCCTGATTTTTCTCGTATAATTATTTAGATCGACTGAAAGTGTTTTAGGATTATTTCAATTAATTATACCTTTGCAATGTTAGGTCAGATTTATCCTGCTACTAGTAACATGTAACCCAGTACAATCTGCTTCATGCCTTGCTGCCTTGTAGGATACGCCTTTTTAGGCAAAGGCTAGGAGATGCCAACTCCAACTTAAAACACCCTCTGCTTTAGGGATCTCGGTAAAGTAAAGGCTAGAGATAGTGTCTCGATAAAAATACTCATCATGGACAGACGTTAAATGCATCCGGTTGCTAACTTGTAAAAGGCTTTTTCGGCAAAGACTTAAGGGATAAACAGATTCTATCTGTTGAGCAGCCTCGCACCCCTTCTTCATCTATTGAGCTGGCGCAGATGTATTTTTAATACATTGTTTTCAGTTTAGGATGTTGAACGCTGAATCTCCTTGACTTGATGCATTGGTTTTGCTTGTGTCTGTTTTTATTACTAGGAAACTCATTCTATTATCTCCTAATGAGGGTACAGTTCTAAAACTCAGTTTTATGGTTATCAGGTCGCCTGGTAGTCAGGTTTCCAAAACTCTGTAGTAGCTCTTAGAGAGGCTGATTGCATCAACCGCTGAAAAATATCAAAGTATTAATAGTGCCATGTTGCGTATGGATGATGTCCGTATTTGTACTTTTGGTGTGCATTGCTAAGGCCACATTGTTAAGGCCACATCTATTTTTCGAGTCAAGTTCTTTAACAAATTTAAAAATGAATAAAGTAACAAAAACCATAAAACACAAAAAACCACTGTCATCACCAAGTTCGCTAATATTCGTGGTCTTTAAAGTAACTTTTCTTCTGTTAAGTCTTATCTCTTGCAAAGTTCACCAGACCTACTTGCTCTTTGTGAGACTAATTTGAGTTCAGCTCTCTCATCTTATGATCTTAGTGTTGATGGTTATCTTCCTTTAATTCGTAAAGACTCCAATAGTCACATGCTTAGCCTAGGGATTTACATTCGTAAGAATTCACCCACTTGTCGGGAAACTACGTTTGAATTCACAGACCTTGGGTAGAAATCTTTTGTCTTCCTGTTGAAAAATGTGCTTCTTAAATAGCATTGTAAATTCAGGCTGGCATGGAATCCTTTATTCTTTCTCGACAATTCCAAGTCAAGCTTCATGCTTCTCCATGGTTTTCCTCACATTGTGCTGCTGCAATTGCCAATCGAAACCATTACTTTCATACCTATTAGCAAAACAATTCTCCAAAAAACAAAGTCTGTTTATTACTGCTAGGAACCATTGTAAAAAGGTTTTGTCTAATGTCAAAGCCCGCTATTCTCAGGTCATGAAATCTCGTATCTAACCACAAAAATTAGGCTCTCGTGACTTCTAGAGAATCTTAACAAGATTCATTCTACGGCTGATTTACTAACAGTAATAACAATAGGTTTTATCGCCCATTAGATAAGGGTGGAGAGGTTAAGGCCATTGCTCTTGACATTTCTAAAGCCTTTGATAAAGTTTGGCATATTGGTTTTCTCCATAACCTTTCCTCTTAGGGTGTAACATCTTTAAGATTATTGAAACCTTCCTTTCCAATCGTAGTATAAAAGTTGTCCTTGATGGACAGCCCTCTTCTTCTTATTCTGTAACCTCAGGGGTTCCTCAAGGTTCAATCCTTGGCCCTATACTTTTTTTAATTTACATTAACAATCTTCCAGATATTCTCTCATCTAAGGTGGCATTGTTTGCTGATGATACTACCATTTATTATTGTCATGATCAACCCTCTCTGATTGCTTAGAGAAGGCATTTGAGCTTGAAAAGGATCTCACTTCAGCTACAGTATGGGGCTCACAGTGGCTGGTGAACTTTAATTCAGATAAAACTAAATTTTTAAGCTCTTGCAAAAAAACCTTTAAATATCCCTATGGCAATATATGGTGATATACATGACTGCGGTATTACAATTTTAATAGTTAAATAAATAGTATGTCACCGTATATGATGTATTTTCAATTTTATATACATATTTCATCATACTATTAAGATGTCATTAAAAATATATATATATATATATATATATATATATATATATATATATATATATATATATATATATATAAAATTTACGTAAATTATGTAAAACTTTATACATAACAAGGGTTCCAATCAAGTGAGAATTTGCAACTTGATATTGAACATAAGTTGCACATTCTAACACCTAGTGTGATACTGTCCACTGTCTCTATGTCAACCTTTTTACTTGACTTCTTTTAACTTTCTCTCTAATATCTTTTATTCTTCTAAAATTCACTTACCCTTGGTCTGCGAAGGGGTTATGATGCTATTTAGTGAGCTGAACTTGTCTTCGCGGGCCTTGGTATATAGCCTCTATATGGCAATTATTCGGAGGAGGATAAACCATATGGAGAATAAACGCATGAAAAAAAGGTATATATTAAATAAATGGTATGTTGGATGTATTTTTATATTTGCTTTTTTGTAGTGCAATCAAAAAAAGCTCTCAATTATTATTCTCGTTATCTGATCTACATTTAAATAATTTAAAATTGTGGTTTTTGACAAAGTTATCTGTAGAATAGAAATTTTGATGTTAATAATTGTTAAATTATTATTTAATTGTTTATTTGTATTTATATATATTGATTAATTTTGATTGTAACTCTTAAAATGAAATACTACTATCGAAAGTTTTTCTCAGGTTCATGCCTTGGTTTTGGTTTCAACCCGGCCTTAAATTTTAAATGCACCTACATCTAAATCTTCCAGTTCTATGCTGGACGATTGGATAGCTGTTTTCAAAGTTCCCTGAAAAAGCTGCCAGCTGAAATCACGGATTTACTCCACAAAAATGATCCTCTTTTGCCACAAATAACACAAAAGTACAATGATAATGGGTCATTTGTGATGATATACATTCATAATTGTTTATAAAAAATCTATAAAAATCCATAGTTTTTTTATATTACCTGCAATGTATTCTTTAACTTTTTCTACTTCTAATCTACACTTTCTACGTTTATATTTATTATAGCTATTGTAATATTATATATAAAAACTTTTATAATATAGTATAATTTGTCATAATAAAATATTATTTATCATAAAAATTATATAATATATAAAATATAATATATATAATAACTACTTCGATTTAATATAATTTGTTTATATTTATATTATTATGAGTACTTTTTTTAATAGTTGAATTACATTTTTATAAAAAAATATTAATTCTATTCATTTGTTTTTAACTTTCGCGTTAACTCTGTAAAACGAGTTAATTAACTCTTTGCTGAATTTACGTAGTTTTTCCGTTTATTTGAATGGTAAAAATGAAATACGGAAACCGTAAATTTTACTGCCTCATTCTCAGCGTAGTTAAGGAGATACCCGAACGATTAGCATTTCTTAAAAACAAAAATTTACATTTTTAAACTTTAATTTTTTCTGATTTCTGCTTTTTTCGACTATTACTATTATATATTTTTAAAAAGTAAAATTTAAACTTTTCTTATATAATTTAATATTTTTTTATAAATCTTTTTTTAACCAAAGCATCGAGCAAAACAAAACTATCACTAAAATACATAAAACGCCTTTCGCATAAAAATGCCTTATTTATGCGAAAGTAAAACTTATTGTTTACAGCATTAAAATATTAAAACCGTAAACAAATGTCACATTAATTTTATCAAATATATTGATATTGATTAACGATGATGAGGATGTTAACTCTACAACGAACACTCACGTGTTTGATAAACTTATTGTATGGAAGTGATTACTTAATGAATACAACAAATAAAAACGAATTTTAATGAGTGAAGATCCCTAGCTATGACAGAGAAAAAAAATTTAAAACACCCTTATTCGATTGCTCGCCAATATCTGTCGTATCGACCAGGGTCAGTGGCAAGCGAACAACTTTTTAGCGGCGCTGGTATAATATATGATCCACTAAGAAATAGGCTTGGTGGGGAAAAAGTTGCTAAGTATTTGTTTAATAAGTTCTTTTTGCTAAATTTAGAGTCTCGTAAATAGATTTAAAATTGTTATTTACACTTCGCTAGAAAAAATACTTTTTACTGAATTATTTTTTTATAATTTTATGAGCGTTGTGAAAGCAATTCTTTTTTATGCTCTAACTTCAAATCCGATTTTGATAAATTAAATTTGTAACCTCCGGTTCCGACTCCAATGTATATATAGTAAATATATGAAACATATTTAATATATAAAATTATATATTTTTTTTTGTCAGGAAGTTAGCCTAAAATCTATTAGGACCGTGTATAGTAATATACACGGTCCTAATAGATTTTTGATATATTACCGATCTTATTTTTCAAACCGAAAAAATAATATTCGGATGGGTTATAAAATAGGTCGTAGCTTAACTCTAAATCATTACTATAATGATAAGTAAAAAACTTTCTATAAAACTTTTACATATTCTATTTTACTAAAAAAATAAGTTATATTAAAAAAATTCTGCGAAAAAATAAAAACAAACAAAAATAACCGATAAAGGGAGTCTTTAACAGCATTTAACTTTGTTAAAATCAATGAAAATAAACAACAAAAATATATTATAAGTAGAGGAAAACACGAGAATAGAGATGAAAATACAGGTCGGATCAAAAGTGTGCGCGTTTTTAAAGGGAGTTAACTAAGTTAAATGACAACCTCATAAACAAATAAAATTCAGGAGATATTAATATCGAAGTTAAAATTACTTAAAAAAGGCTAACATATTTATAATCAGTCTTACATATTCAACGCAACTACAAAAAAAAAAATGTAATAAATAGCTTAAAAAACTTCTCTATTAAATAAAATAGCGCATTAAAAGTTTAGATAACACAAAATATAAAACTACTAAACCAAATATACACTTAGCAAAATCATAAGTATACAGTGTTAATAGCAATCCCGCAATAACAATTGTACCTAGCATTCCAAAAAAGCAGACAAAATAAAAAGCGTAACGTAAATGTCTTGCAAATCTTCTATGTTCTTGTCTGTGATTTCCATTGAGAAGATAAGAGACCAACATAAAAAGGACCATTAATAACGTCCTGATCACATACAAGTAATGAACAATACGTGATGTATCAGACGATGCTAAATTGCCTTCAAACATTACGTTAGCAGGTGAAGGTAAAGGAAACACATTATTTTTATTCCTATTCTCGACTTTAGAACGCTTCCTATAAACATAAAATATGTTTAATAACTTACATCTTTATGTTGTCTGGGATGAACCACGCGATTTATAAAATCATTTAAAAATAAAAGAAGCGTTACAGTCAGATGTAAACAATACTTTCACTATTAACAACTTAAGGCCGTTTTCCACAAGACGAAATATTCGCGCGAAGCAAATTTTTTCGCTATGACGAAACGCTGTTTTGATTTTCTTTTGCGCTACTTTTTTTTCGTTGTCAACAATTAAAATGGCAGCAATAAGTTTACGCTGTATGTTTAACTAAAGGCAGTTATTACTTTTTTAGCATACTTTCTACTTGGAAGCATATGAAAATTTCTTTCCGTGCATTAATATTAAAATTTCTGCCTTTATATGTAAGATGTGATATTATTTTGCAATGTAATCATTTAACATCAGGTTTTTTTTACAAGAAAGTATAAGAAAATAAACATTTCTATTAAAAACAGTTACTGCAAAAACGAACAGCAGGTTTAAATCTATGTAGAATTTTTCACAAAAAGATTTGTCTTCCTGTGGCCACTTGAAGATAAACATTCTTATAAAGTGTAACTTTCGTAATTGACAGTGTGAAAATTTATATTTGTAAATTCTCGATTTAGTTTTATGTATAAGTCTGGTCATTTTTTTATGTAAATCTTTCTCCTTGTTTGATAAATTTACTCATGCTTGCCAATTTTCAGAGTAAGTTCAGATAAAATTAATAAGAACGCCAGGTTAAGAATTTTGTTTTTTGTTACTTTAAAAACAACATGTTTCCGCTTTTCCGCTTTTTAATGTTGACATCACGTGATATAATATTTAAAACTTTATTGGTTTTCGGTTATTTTCAAAACTTTATTGGCGATTCGCAAAAAGTCGAAATGAATCCGACTTTTTTTTTCGCTGCAGCGAAACGCTGTAGCGAAAAAAAATCAGTATAATCGCCAAAAATGTTTAATCTGCGCATGCTTAACAACGATAAATTCGCTTCGCGCGAATTTTTCGTCTTTTGGAAAACGGCCTTTAGGTTTTTCTTAAAAACATGATAATTAAAATGTTTCGATTGTAAATCATCAGTCATTCTCAATTTATATTAAATATTTATAAAAAATATGGATACAATATATTAAATACAACATTTTAATAAAATTTGTTATATAAATCTTAAATGACCATATATTAAAACATGGAAGTATAAAACAGATGGAAGTTCATCGAGCCGCAAACATCAAAGCAATTTCAAGTCGTCTCGGGAGTGTGCTTGTAACCGACAATAAAAAAAAAAAACAAGTTTCACTGGATAAAAAAACAACAAAATTCACTGAAATGATCTTTATTAAAACATTAAAAAATGAATCATTCTAGGGATATGCTGCAAATTTTTAACCATTAGTAATTGCAATTATTCAACAAAAGGTTTATTAAAACTCGGTAATTAAATAGAACCACTTGATTTTAAAAGCATATGTTAGTTTAAGCTTCTTTTCTTGCTTCAAGTCATAACACGACATTTGATAAAAAAGACAACTAAAACAATTTTTAAAAGGTTACAAGCATAGTCCCGAAGAATTTCAATGCGGTTGAACTTCCATCTGTTTTATACTTCCATGATTAAAATCATCGTTTAAACGGTAATTACTTTTTACAATGTTTTTTTATATAATTCACTATTTAAGCATGTGAAGACACATCGCAATAGAAGAGCTAACCCAGGTTTAATAAGTCTGCAGAATTGTGAAAAGGGCGCACAGTTACATAGCTACTAACAAAGACACAGTTGACTAATGAGTAGAGTCATCATGTTCCCGTGTTTATCATCCCAGACAGGAGACAATCTAACACAGGTTTACATCTACACCAGCCTATTAGATAAAGAGTTGCGAAGCAGATCAACAGAAATTTATTTGCTTACCCCTAAAGTTTTTGTCTATGAGGCTTTCTGTAAGAACAATTAAAGAATTAAAAAACTTAGGATTGCCCAGAAAAATCCAGAATTCTGCATATAATAAGAATTTTACTTATTAATCTCCATGCATAGATGCATGTTGTGTGGCAGCAAAAATGCGTACTATTTTTAATATGCGAAAATATAAATAATGAATGAAGCAGAAATGTAAATTAAAACTAATAAAAATAGGATAAAAAATAACTTACAAGTAGATATTTGGATATAAAGACTTCAACTGATTTTTAAAATCTATAAATAAAATTAACCTAGATAAATAACAAAATTATTTTTAAACAGACACAACGACTGAAAATGACGTTAACCAATTACAACATTACAAATATTAGAATAAAATGTTTCAATAAATTAAAAGCTATGGTTAATATAAAAATGTAAAACAGTTTAAAAAAGATTAAATGCAGAGATAATGCCAAGCATTCTGCTGACAACATCAAATTTGACTTTTAAAATGACTTTTTTTAAATATTATCTTTAAAAATAATAAAAAATTTAGCTTTTCCACATCTATTATTAGCAAATTACTATATCTATAATAAGTGAATTACTAGATGATAAAATGATAGATAAAATGACCAAAGTACCAAAAACTATAAAACACAAAAAACCATCGTCATCACCAAATTCTCTAAATCTATCATTGACTAATATTCATGGTCTTTTTTGAAGTAACTCTTCTTCTGTAAAGTCTTATCTCTTGCAAAATGCATCAGACCTACTTGCTCTTTGTGAGGCAAATTTGATTTCAGCTGTCACATCTTGTGATCTTAGTGCTAATGGTTATCTTTCTTTAATTCGTAAAGACTCCAATAGTCACATGTTTGGCATTTACATCTGCAAGAATTCACCCATTTGTCTGGAAACTAAGTTCGAATCCACAGATTATTGTTTTGTGTGTTTTCGTTTAGCAACACTTCACTCTATCACCTTTCTCTTTGTTCTATATCACTTTACTCTTTCTTAAGACTGCACTTTTTCAATGTTATTTATGATCAAATTGACCAATTTCTCCCTTTATCCATCAGTCAATATCATTGTTGTTGGTGACTTTAATGCTCATCACACTGAATGGCTAGGCTCTAGTGTCAGTGACTCTTGGCTCTAGTGTCAGTGACTCTTGGCTCTAGTGTCAGTGCAGGCGTTAAGGCCCACAACTTTTGTGCCTTTTAATCTCTAATGCAGTCAACTTTGCAACTCAGTTTCTCAACAATCTAAACTTCTTTACTCAACTTATGTCTTATTTCTGATCCTAGTCAATGCTCAGTTTCTCCACAATTACCCTTAGGTGCTTCTGATAACAGTTTGATCTCTCTAAAACAACTCATTATTCTTTATCATCAGAATCCCTTATCAACTTACCTCTTACTACTACCTTTTAGCTGATTCAGATTCTTTTAGTTATTTTTTTTTCATGGTGGCCATTGGGTAGAAATCTTTTATCTTCCTGCTGACAAATGTGCTTCTTGGATTCAGGCTGCTGCAATTTCCAATTGTAACTATTACTTCCATATTTATCATCAAAATGATTCTCCAGAAAACAGACGCCTGTTTACAATAACTAGAAATCATTGTAAAAAAGTTGTCTAATGCCAAAGCATGCTACTCTCAGGTCACAAAATTTTATCTCAAAAATTAGACTAATTAGACTTAGCAGCAGGACTTATTCAATCTTATTAGCAGCAGGACTTATGCAACAGTACAGCTTATTGCTTAAGCTGCCATGCTATGATTGATTCAAGTTTTCAATTTAAAATTGTCTCTAAAATTAAAATTTTATATTTTTTATATTTACATTACAAGTATTTGAAATGATGTAAATATATATATATATATATATATATATATATATATATATATATATATATATATATATATATATATATATATATATATATATATATGTATATATATATATATATATATATATAAAATAAAAACTCAATTTTTAATTGTTGTTACTATATCATGAAAACATTGTACATTTAAGCAATTTATTTTCATCATTTAAAAAAATTATTTTCTATAGTTTAAGTTTGCAAGTAATTTTATAAAAAAATTGAGACTTTCTAAAATTGATGTTTTCAAAATGAGGTATTTGATGATGCAAATATGGTATTGAACTGATGCAAGTGTTCTATCTTTTTTTCGGAGGCAAGTTTCCTATCTTCTTTCACATTAAGGATTTCATCAATTGGATTCTTATGTATTAAACAATCCCTTGAAACTGGTCATCAAGATTTTCATCAAAAATGGTCAAAGAAAGGTATAAGAAAAATAATAACCATCCAGAGTATAAGGTAAGATAGTTGAGCTGCATAACCAATCTGAAAATTTAGCTAACAGAATCTGAATTATTAGAGATAAGGCAGCAGAAAATCATAGGCTATGGTTTAAAATGAAGAATTTAAAACACCCTTTAAATATTCGTCACTAGTTAACATTTTTTTATGCTTTGGCTTACATATTTTAAATTATCAAATAAAAAATTTGGATTTTAGGTTTTCAGATTACAGATAAAAATATTATTATTAAGTATTTGTACTAAACAAAATTAGATATTTATTGAAAATTGTGTTTTTTTTTATAAGAATTGAGAATTAAAAAAAAAAAAATACAAAATTTGGCATTTGAAATTAATTTATGTGACATAACTAAATGGATGTCAAATCTGACATTTATTTGTTTCAAATACTTAAAGGATCATATAAGACAATTTGAAAAGGTATGTAAAAAAATGATTATTGAAAATAAAGAGAACATTATTATAAATCCATTTATTTTATTATCAGGTCAAAGATTAGTAGAATTGTATTAACTTTAACCTAGTGATTAGAAGTGTATTAACTTTGCACCATTATCCGATAGTTTCATTATCACAAAAACAACAAGGGTCACTAATGTAATCCATAGAGACAGAAAATGAAATTTGAAATGAAAAAGTGCCTTCTAAAAAAGAGACAAAAATTCCACAATGCAAAATAAAAGCCTTTTGTTGGAGTGTCCACAATCTCATTCCATATTTAATTTTATATTTACTAAAAAAGGCTTGACACATTGATAACAAGGAACAAACTGTGTATTCCCCTGCATCTACATCATCATTTTATTATTCTTTAAGTACTTATTGACTTGTGATGTTTTTTAGGTAAGTCAATTGTCTTTTCACTGATCCTACTTATCAGAGCTTGCATTTTATGTTATTCAAAAAAAGAACAATTTTGTGGAAATGATCAAATATAAAAAGTCACAATAATTTTTCAGTATGAACAGATATGAAATACCTTTATATCACACTTTGTCAGTATGAACAGATATGAAATGCCTTTATATCACACTTTGTCAGTATGAACAGATATGAAATGCCTTTATATCACACTTTGTCAGTATGAACAGATATGAAATGCCTTTATATCACACTTTGTCAGTATGAACAGATACGAAATGCCTTTATATCACACTTTGTCAGTATGAACAGATATGAAATGCCTGTGTATCACACTTTGTCAGTATGAACAGATATGAAATGCCTTTATATCACACTTTGTCAGTATGAACAGATATGAAATGCCTTTATATCCCACTTTGTCAGTATGAACAGATATGAAATGCCTTTATATCACACTTTGTCAGTATGAACAGATATGAAATGTCTGTATATCACACTTTCTCAGTATGAACAGATATGAAATGCCTGTATATCACACTTTGTCAGTATGAACAGATATGAAATGTCTGTATATCACACTTTGTCAGTATGAACAGCATAATATATAAAAAAAATATCTCTTTATAATATTAAAAAAACTTGTCATAATATAATAGTATAATTTTAAGAACAATTTACATTAAAAAAAATAACTGAAAGAAACAGGCTAAAACCTGACCTTCGCATGCAGTAACAGAATATATACGCCTTCTACATAATGGACACAGAGGTTTTTTGTGAGTTGATTTATTAAGCTGTCGCAAGCATGGACTGCAGAATATATGATTGCAAATTGTTTTGTAAGGGTCATAGAACAAATCCCAACAAATTGGACATTGATGCTCCTCAAGAATTTCTGTTTCATGACTCTAAAAAAAAATAGTTAATATAAAATAAAAAAAGATAAAAAAAATAAATATTAAGATTTAAAAATATATATATAAAGATATAAAAAATATATATAAAGATATAATAAATATATATAAAGATATACTTTTTTAATTACGACTAAATAAAGAAAACTTAAAAAGTAAAAAAAAAAAAATTTTTACTAATTTTGTTAATTTTCTGTTTTTAAACAGAAAATTAACAAAATTAGTAGAATATTAAAAAAACTTGTCAAAATATAATATAATAATGTTTTTAAACAGAAAATTAACAAAATTTTCTTTCAAATTTTTTTTTTCATTTGAAATTCTTTTATCTACACAAAACCAAGTTATTAATAAACTCTGAATCATGCTCTTTTAGCCTAATGTATGACATAAGATTGAAGTGCAAAATCATCTGCTTAACCCAATTTAATTCATAAAATAGTTTAGTGGAACAATAGCAAAAAAAAGAAAAAAAATATGTTAAACCTTAAACTTTATAAAATAGCCAATAAAAAAAATAAAAAAAGGAATACACATGTTCATAAACTTTAAACATTTACTACCAATTGTTTAGAAATGTGCAATCATCAAAAAGTGTGGTAATCTTTAAAGACAAACCGATTGTGAGTTTTTACACAAATATGTGTTAGGTCCAGTTCTATCAAAAATCATTTTACAGAAATTGATTAACAGAATCAAAGCTCTGCAAACTTGATTCTATAAAGAGAGCAATTTTGACTACAATTTTAATAGTCAAATGTAACTAGACAATAACAACAACAACAAGTTAAAGTAACAACAATAACAACGAAAACAACAAAGTTGATTTTTACTTTAAAAAAGTTGACAAAGACAATGTTTTTTTTTTTATTATTGTTTTCAATAAATTAAAAAAAAATTAAATTAAAATTTTTAATTATTCAAACAACTCAAATAAACCAAATAAATATATATGTATATAGTTAATAAGAGTTAAAGTAAGATAAAAAATGAAGCTTTCATTAAAATGGCATTTCAGATAGCAAGTAATAGGTGCATCAGAGATAATTATGCAAGTAAAGACAAGTATGGGACAATAATGTCAGGGACAATTATGTAAAACAAAAATATGAAGTTTGTTATTTGTTGCAGAGATAATGCAAAGAAAAAAAAGATGCAAGGCATCATGAAATCTTTTGGGAAACTGCCCTACCTGTGCAACCACATAAAAAGGGCAACTTTATCTTCTATTCATTTTTTATCAATTTTTGGCAGAAATTAAAAGATTTTTATAATCTTAATTTAAAAAAAATTTTTATAATTAAATATAAATTTTTTTCATCATCATCATCATCACCATCATCATCATCATCATCATCATCATCATCATCATCATCATCATCATCATCATCATCATCATCATCATCATCATCATCATCATCATCATCATCATCATCATCATCATCATCATCATCATCATCATCATCATCATTATCATCATCATCATCATCATCATTATCATCATTATAACCATAATGATGATGATAATAATAATGATGATCCTCATATGCTGTTTCTCTAATATAAAAGATCTAGACATTTTCTTTCCTTAACTAGGTAAATAACTAGGTTAATAAATCCTACATATAACAATATCTTATTATAGTCAGGTCAGGTTATCCTGCTACTGGTAACATGTAACCCAGTACAACCTGCTTCATGTCCTGCTGCCTTGTAGGATACGCTTTCTTAGGCAAAGACTAGGAGAAGCCAACACCTCCTGCCTTAGGGCTTTTGGTTAAGTTTATGTGTCTCAATAAAAATACTCATTTTAGGCAGATGTTAAATGCATCCAGCTACTATCTTGTAGGACTCCTAGGTAAGTACTTAAAGGGTAAATAGATTCTATCTAGAGACCAGCCTCACACCCCTTCTTCATCTATTAGGCTGCCGCAGATGTATTTATAATACATTTTTTCTAGTTTAGGATGTTGAACGCTCGATCTTCATGACTCAATGAATGGGTTTTGCTTGTGTCTCTGTTGTTATGGCTACGCAACTCATTCTATTATCTCCTAATAAGGGTACAGTTCTAAAACTCAATTTTATGGTTCTGAAGTCAGCTGGTAGTCAGGTTTCCTGAACTTTGTAATAGTTCTCAGAGAGGCTGATTTCATCAACAGCAATATTCTTGGTCTTTGAAGTTACTTTTCTCCTGTTGAGTCTTATCTCTTGCAGACCTACTTAATCTTTGTGAGACTAATTTGAGTTCGGCTGTCTCATCTTGTGATATTAGTGTTGATGGTTATCTTCCTTTAACTTGTAAAGACATTAATAGTTATATGCTTGGCATTTACATTCGTAAGAATTCACCCATTTGTCTGGAAACTAGATTTGAATCCACCAACTATTCTTTTATGTGCTTTTGTTTAGCACCACTTCACTCTATCGCCTTTCTTTTTGTTCTATATCGCTATCCTTCATCTCAAGACTGCACTCTTTTTGATGTTATTTCTGATCAAATTGACCAAGTCCTCTCTCTTTATCCATCAGCCAATATTGTTGGTTGTAAGTGATTCTAATGCTCATGACACTGAATGGCTTGGCTCTAGTGTCAGTGACTCAGAAGGCATTAAGGCCCACAACTTTTACCTTTTTCAATATGTAACTCAAATAGTCAACTTTCCAACTCACTTTTCTGACAACTTAGATAATTTACCTTCTCTACTCGACTTATGTCTTGTTTCTGGTACTAGTCAGTGCTCAGTTTCTTCGAATTCACCCTTAAGTGCTTCTGATCACAATTTGACCTTTCTAAAACTCATCTCATTCTTCTTCATTATCAGAATCCCCCTATCATACCTTTTACAACTACCTTAAAGCTGACTGAGACTCTGTGATCATCTTTGTGATGGTCCTTGGGTAGAAACCTTTCATCTTCCTGCTGACAAATGTGCTTCTTACATTCAGCATTCAGGCTGGCATGAAATCTTTTATTCCTTCTTGACGATTCCAGGTAGAGCCTCACTCTTCTCCATGGTTTTCCTCATTTTGTGCATTAGCAATTTCCAATCAAAACCATTACTTCCATATCAATCAGCAAAACAATTCTTCAGAAACCAGGCGTCTGTTTACTATTGTTAGAAATTATTGTAAAAAGGTTTTGTCTAATGCCAAAACCCGCTATTCTCAGGTCATGAAATCGCGTATTTCATATCAGAATTAGGCTCTCATGACTACTGGAGAATCTTTAACAGTATCAATAATAAGGAAAATCTATTATTCCAACTCTCTTGTATGGTTCAGATTTTGTCACCTCACCTAAAGATAAAACTGAATTGTTTGCAAAGAGCTTTTCATCAATATCATCCCTTGATTCCACTAGATACATTCTACCTGATATAGCCAACAAACAGTTTAATCCATTTCTTAACATTCGTATCACTCTAGTTTCTGTATCTAGAGTGATTTCCTGCTCTGACTCTTCCACAGCTTGTGGTCCGTTTTTATAACAACATACCTGTTATAGAAGTGTTCTCCAGAGCTGTTGTCTATACTTTCAAAACTATTTAACAAATGCTGATCAGAGTTTTGTTTTCAAGTCTGCTGGAAAGCAGCATCTGTTATCCCTTTTTTCAAAAATTCTAAATGATCTGACTCGTCTAACTATTGTACCATTAGTCTTTTTCTTATCATAAGCAAGGTTTTTGAATCTTTAATTAACAAAAACTTAATCTCTTATCTTGAATCTAATAACTTACTTTCTGATCATCAATATGGATTTCAATCTTCTCATTCTACAGCTGAATTTGCTAACAGTAATAACCGATAGGTTTTATCAAGCATTAAATAGAAGTTAAGGCTATCATTCTTGACATTTCTAAAGTTTTTGATAAAGTTTAGCATGCTAGTCTTCTCCATAAGCTTTCTTATTACGGTGTATCAGGTAACATCTTTAAGATTATTGAATCTTTCTTTCCAATCGCAATATAAAAATTGTCCTTGATGGACAGCACTCTGCTTCAAATCCTGTAACTTCAGGGGTTCCTCAAGGTTTTATCCTTGGCCCTATACTCTTTTTATACTACATTAACAATCTTCCAGATATTCTCACATTTAAGGTGGCATTGTTTGCTGATGATACTACCATTTATTCTTGTCTTGATAAGAAGCCAGCACTCTCTTATTGCTTGGTGGGGGCATTTAAGCTTGAAAAGGATCTCATTTCTGCTACAGCAAGGGGTTCACAGTGGCTGGTAAACTTTAATTCAGATAAAACACAATTACTTTTAGCCAATCGTTATCACAATAATTTAGATCTTCCTATATTTATGAACCGTAATGTACTCAATGAGTCATCTACCTTTCATCTTCTAAGATTAACTCTTACTTCGGATCTTTCTTTGAAACCATATATCAAATCCATTGCAAAATTAGCACTGTCAAGGTTGCATCTTTTTATTGTGCTAGACACTTTTTACTCTGGATTCTATTCTTTATTTCTATAAATCTCAAATCACCCTAGATATGGCAACAGTATTCCATACAAAACTTGTATGGAATACTGTTGCCATATCTAGGGTAGATACAATGATGCTCTTTTTCTTTTAGACAAGGTGCAAAAATGCATTGTAAACATAGTTTGACATGCTCTTGCAGCCAACCTCAAACCATTATCACATCGACATAATGTTGCTTCTCTTTCTCTTTTCTTGAAATACTATAATGGGCACTGCTCTAAAGAGCTAGCGCCTCTTGTACCATCTACTAAAATTCATTCTTGTTTTACTCGTCATTGTATTAAATCTCATTCTTTTACTGTGACTGTTCTTAAGTGCTCTAAAAAATCTTAATTGTCCTATTTTTTTCCTCGAACATCAGTTCTTTGGAGTTCGCTTCCTTCATCTTGCTTTCCTGATTCATACAATTTGTAATCTTTTAAGTCGTCTGTCAATTGTTATCTTGCTCTATAAACTTCATTTTTTCTCTTCCATTAACTTCCAACTCTTATAGTG